GCCTATCACCTAGACCTGAAATGATGTCCCATATAGGGTGAGCCACAGCCCAGTAGAGATATATAAAACCAAATATAAGCAATGACTAAAAAATAGCATTAGATAGATGGTTAACACTTATAAACCAATTATATCACAATACAGTTCCATGACACTTATGTCCATGTTACATTCCATTTTCCTTTACTTATCCAAATCATTTTATATACATGGCTCAGAACCTGGCAAAACAATTCAATAAGACTATAACTCATATACTAACACTTCCATATTTCACAATAGATACACATATTTGCTGTATCAACATCATATTAAAACACTTCCATATTTCACAATAGATACACATATTTGCTGTATCAATATTTCAATTTAATACACATATTTGCTGTATTAATGGAGTTCATCCCCTATCTCTTTCCAAACAGGTTTGAGAGTCCATCCCCTATCTTCCATCAAACCATGGAGTACATCCCATAGCTTCTTCCACACAATACATATATTCCAAGTATATAAACAATTATCATATATAGGGATCACTCAATACACAAATTTAATGTATTATTCCAACCGTCATATTCAATGACTTATGCAATGTGATTAGTTTCAGTTTTTCCTAATCAACATACAGTGTCTACAACAATCAAGACTATCCTCCACCGATAGCCCAAAGCTGTTACTTCTAAACTGAAAGTAAATGCATTAAATAGATATAATATCAACTTACTCCATAGGTGAGTGATTAATTTATTCAACTACACCATTCAATCTCATAATTTCCCAATATTAATTATACAAATTAATTTAGTTCATAATTAGGGCATTCTTCCCCCTTTATCACATTTCAACCCAAAGGCTCAAATTCAACAATAAAACAACATTAATTCCATTTTTGGTGGTCTCAAACACCCATAGAATTTAACATTTTGAAAACCCCCTTTTTTATAAATTACAAATCAAACCCTAACTTTTTCAAAATTACCCAACAACCCCAACATATCAAAATGCCCAAAATTTATGACAAAACTCATAAGATGGAGTAGGGTATCCATACCTCGAAATGAAGAGCTCAAATGGAGAAGATGACAAAAACTCGAAGTGCTCCAAATCCGAGATTTTTCAGATTAAAATGTAACCCACACAACCATCTATCTTTTTTACAAAGAACTTAAGGTAGAAACACTCAAGAACTAGATCAATCCCTAGAGAGAAGGTAAGTGTAGAGAGAGGAGCATCCGGATCTAGGGTTTAGACAAAAGAGGAGATGAAAAAGTGAAGTGTAATCCCGCTGCTGCCTACTGATATAACACAGGCTCGCTCGAGCGAAGGATTGGTCGCTCGAGCGACCAGACACAAAGAACTCTCGCTCGAACGTAGAAAACCTCGCTTAAATGCATTAAATAGATATAATATCAACTTACTCCATAGGTGAGTGATTAATTTATTCAACTACACCATTCAATCCCATAATTTCCCAATATTAATTATACAAATTAATTTAGTTCATAATTAGGGCATTCTTCCCCCTTTATCACATTTTAACCCAAAGGCTCAAATTCAACAATAAAACAACATTAATTCCATTTTTGTTGGTCTCAAACACCCATAGGATTTAACATTTTGAAAACCTCATTTTTTATAAATTACAAATCAAACCCTAACCTTTTCAAAAATTACCCAACAACCCCAACATATCAAAATGCCCAAAATTTATGACAAAACTCATAAGATGGAGTAGGGTATCTATACCTCGAAATGAAGAGCTCAAATGGAGAAGATGACCAAAACTCGAAGTGCTTCAAATCCGAGATTTTTCAGATTAAAATGTAACCCACACAACCATCTATCTTTTTTACAAAGAACTTAAGGTAGAAACACTCAAGAACTAGATCAATCCCTAGAGAGAAGGTAAGTGTAGAGAGAGGAGCATCCGGATCTAGGGTTTAGACAAAAGAGGAGATGAAAAAGTGAAGTGTAATCCCGCTGCTGCCTACTGATATAACACAGGCTCGCTCGAGCGAAGGATTGGTCGCTCGAGCGACCAGACACAAAGAACTCTCGCTCGAACGTAGAAAACCTCGCTCGAGCCAAGAATGCGAAGCTTCAGGTCTGCAACCCAGAAGCACGCTCGAGCGATAGAATGCTCGCTCGAGCGAAGAAACCCAAAACATAGTCATCGCTCGCTCGAGCGAAGAATTGCAACCTTCAGGTCCAGAACCAGACGCAGACGCAAGCTCGAGCGAAGGACTTCTCGCTCGAGCCACCAGATACAAAACTCAACTCTCACTTGAGCGAAGGATCTAAAACACAGATCTCGCTCGAGCGACAAAAGGCTCGTTCGAGCGAAGGACCAAAATTCTAAGCAGCAACCATTTGCTCCCAATCACACCCAACTTGTAACAAACCTGTCCAATACATCCTATAACTCAAAATTAAGGAATTAAAGGATGACAACAAGATATAAACAACCACAAGCTCCACGGAACCTAAGTCCGGATACCACAACCAAATGGGGAAAGACTAAGATTGCTATATGGGATAGGCTAGTCTATATATATACTATATATTAAGTAAAATGGGATTTTTAACCCCCAAGGCCTGTAGGAGTTTCAATATCCCAATTTGAATTTTCTAAATTTTTTATTTTTTTTTAAAAAAAAAACTCAGCATTTATTGATTTGGTCAAAATCTCCTGATTAGCATTTATTAACTTTTTTCAATCCACATGTCTTTCCACATGTCTGCAATTATTGATTTGGTCAAAATCCCCTGATCAGCATTTAAAATCCCTTCATACAAATAATTATAGATATAATCTGTATATAGTTACTGCAGTACCCTTTTCAACTTCTTTCATACACTATAATTAGTGATAAGATTGTTAAATTATTTTTATAAAAAAATCTTAAAAAACATAATTTATATATTAAAAAAAATCTAAAACAAATAGAAATATCTATAATTATCCTGTGCATAGCACGAGTGATAGGCTAATTTTTTTATTAAATAAATAATTAAAATATTTAATTATTTATTTAATAAAAAATTTAAGCGAGTGATAGGCTAATTTTTTTATTAAATAAATAATTAAAATATTTAATTATTTATTTAATAAAAAATTTAAGAATTGTGTATCAAGTCATGCTTTTTTTTTTTTTTGTTTAGTGTATCAAGTCATGCTTTGATAAGGAATATCTCATCATTATTGTCATCTTGTATCAAAAGTCATGCTTTGATACAACGTCAATGGCACTTCACCATGAGTCCGGATCCTTGGCCGCCCAATTTTCCAAAAAAGAAAAAAGAGAACACAGAACGAGCAAAAACAAGACCTAGAGAGGAGAAGAAAGAAAGTATCAACGAGGACGAGCAACCATAGCCGCGAGACCCCTTATCTCTCTCTCTTTCTCTCACGCGCGATCTTGATCTTGCCAGCAACGACGAGCCATCATCTCAATCGAAAGAAGAAGAAGAAGAAGAGGAAAAAGATGAAGGAGGTGAGGTGAGTTTGAGACGGCGATGCTGTGGTGGTCGAAGAGAGAGAGGCTTGAGAGAGAATTCAAGGTTTTGATTTTTGGTGATGAACTTTGATTTTTAGCCCATGATTTAGTATATATGTATTGTAGATTTGTATAGATATAACGATATATATATAAGGATGGAAGTGGAAGGTGAATAGGAATGAGAAATCTTACCGGTGATCGAAGAGTGGCGCCGGTAGGTGAAGGGATTCCGGAGGGTGTGGTGGTTGTGGGCTGCCGGTGCCATGTTCTTCTTTCCCTCTTTCTCTTTCTCTAGTCTGTTCTGTTTTGCTCGTTCTGTGTTTTTTCATTTTTTTGGAAAATTGTCCCCAAAACGACATCGTTTTGAGACGCTGCAGGAAGGGTTGGAAGGTATGGTGGCCGAGGATCCAGATTCCTTCACCATCGCTGCATTCCAATTTTCAAGTCTTATCGCACAGACTATAACACAACAATAAGGAAAATAAGTGGGAGCTCTAATTAGAGCTACCACTAATGATCACAGTATGTGTTGTGTCTGTGTGTGCGTGTTTTTTTTTTTTTTTTTTCTTTTTTTTTTTGTTTTGCTTTTTTACCTCATTAATGGTGGGTTTAGAGCCACCAAATTAATAATCTCTAGCATGATTGTAACAATGATACTCAAAATTCGAATCGTGGTAACACCAAAGTGGGTTTAGTTTGTGTTTTAAAACATACTTTTAGAGAAAAATTTTTAAAATTATGTTTAGAAATAAATTTTTTTTAAAAAATTAAAATTAATTTTTTTCGCTATTACACATTAATTAACTAATTTTTTTCTCTCTTCTTATTTTTTCAATTATTATTTTTTATATATATCTACTCAATTATAATAAAATAAATCATTCTAAATTCACGTCGTTTTGACAATTTTAAGTCATTGTAATCACAAAAATTATGACCCTTTAACATTGTTGTTTTTAAAATATACAACTAAAAAATTTTTAAACTCCTTCACCAAATTTTTTTTAATTTTTTTTTTTTTTTAAATTTATCTAAGAACGCAAATCAAATCCATCCAACTTTTTGAGAAAATTACCCAATTCCTTCCTTCCTTACTTCCTTCCATGGCCACTCTCTCTGCCTTCTCGTCTTCTTCTTGGCCAAACCCTAACCCTAGCTCCAACTTCCACTCTCTTCCTCAACCCGATCACACCGATTACTCTCACATCGCAACCAATCTCCCTCATCCTCCGATGGGCACCACCGAAGACGAAGACGATGGACCTCTTTTTAATCCTCACCCCCAATCCACTCTCCTCCAAAACCCTAACCCTAATTTCCCCAATCGACCCTCGCTTTTTGCTCCAACTCTTCTCCATGTCTCTTTCAATCAAGATTACGGTTGCTTCGCCACAGGCACCGATCGTGGCTTCAAGATTTACAATTGCGACCCGTTTCGAGAAATCTTTCGCCGCGATTTCCATCACGGAGGTACTTGTCCTTTAATTTCTGAAACATGCTTATACTTGCTATAGTCGGGGGAGGCCCTGATCCTCAGTACCCTCTCAACAAGGTGATGATTTGGGACGATCATCAGAGTCGGTGCATCGGCGAATTGTCGTTCCGAGCGGAGGTTCGCGGTGTTCGGCTCCGGCGTGACCGAATTGCGGTTGTGCTGGAGCAGAAGATCTTCGTTTACAATTTTTCGGATTTGAAGCTTTTGCACCAGATTGAGACGATTGCGAATCCGAAGGGGCTTTGTGCGGTTTCGCAGGCCGGTGGATCGCTTGTGTTGGTTTGTCCGGGGTTGCAGAAGGGGCAAGTTAGGGTTGAGCATTACGCGTCGAAGCGGACCAAGTTTATCATGGCTCACGATTCGAGGATTGCTTGCTTTGCACTCACACCGGACGGTCATTTGCTTGCGACTTGCAGCACTAAGGGGACTCTTGTGAGGATTTTCAATACGTTTGATGGTTCGCTGCTGCAAGAGGTATGCTGGGTTTGATTTCTTTTGCTTTCTTGGTTGAGTTCGTAATTGAATTGAAGTATTGCTTAATTGTTGTTTCTCTCTTTAGTACAATTGGTTGATAAGTTTCATTTTTTATTCTCTTTCTTGTGGGTTTTCTTTGATTACCAGAACCCATTTTGAAGCATATTTAGCTATGTTATTTATAAGCTGAACTTGTTCCTCTGCCAAACGGCAGCATTGTTTGAAGTTGTCATAAAGGTATTCTCAGTTCATCTGCTAGCATTGGCTTAATTGGGAAGAAACAAGTATACTGCAATGCAACAATAGGTGGCATGATTCAAAAAAAAATAAAAATCAAGTGGTAATTTTGTGTTTAACAAGGTTAAATTAAGTTCATATTCCAACCAATCAATTTGAGTTTAGGACACTTCCTTTCTTGAGAGATCTTTATTGCTACTTTGCATTGTGTACTAGAAATTCAATCTAGTACACTTGTTTGACAAGTTCTTAATTCAATCGCAGTAATTCCCTCCCGGAAGTGTTCGTTGAGTAAGTGCTTAGTTTGATAGCTTATTGGTGAATGCATGTACAACCACCCTCATTACTTGCATTCATTGTGCTAGGTTTGTTCCTGACTAAAAGCACCTTAGAGCAACAATGAATTGGTATATCAGAGTAGCCTGTCATTTTTTATGAACTAGGAGTCTGAGTTGTTACTTCACCTGCATTAAGGGCCTTGTATTGTTGAAGACATTTATCTCCATTAATTTCTAATTAGATTATGGGCTTCCGTAGGGATCCTTGTAGAACAGACTATATGGGGAAGCTGTGCATTGTTTGTGTTTTTCAAATGTGGATGGAATGCTTACCTTTGTTTCTTGAAAAGTGGAGTTGCTCTGCTTCTTCATTGACAAACCAAATTATCATTTATTCTTCCCAAGTCTGATATAAGGTTGGTCACTTGTCTTTCAACAGTTTTAGAAATTGTTGATAAACTAAATGAGATATATAATGCAGGTTAGGAGGGGTGCAGATAGAGCAGAAATATATAGTCTGGCATTCTCTTCAACTGCCCAGTGGCTGGCAGTCTCAAGCGACAAGGGCACTGTCCATGTTTTTGGTCTAAAGGCTAATTTGGGAAACCTGGGAAGTGACAAGTCACATGGTGCATCTGATCCCAATCATGCTGTTTCATCACCCACTTCATCACTCTCCTTTATAAAAGGTAATAAGATGCCTTCCTCAAATCACTTGTAAACTTGCCTTTTTTTTTTAAAAAAAAAAATTTAGTTCTTTTCTCGCACATTGATGTTCTTCCTTAAATAACTAAGGAGCGCATGGGCATTTGAATGCAGTTTATGTTTGCAATTTGCACAAACTGCTGTCACTAAAATGGAGAGAATTTGGATCAATACCATTAAATGAAATTCTAAAAACAATCTTGTGTATTAGACAAGCAAGCAACAAAATAGGATCACATCAAGTGCCCTGGAGAAGGAAACTTTTCAGCTTAGATGCCATTAACATAATGAAATTGTTTCTTTTCAGAGAAGGCGGATTTCATTTTATTTTTCCAAAGGAAAAGTCCTGAAACTATGCCAAAAGATGATATGAAGGTTTTGTGTAGTCCATTACATAACTTCAATTTCCATGGTTACCTTGTCCTTTAATTTCTGAAACATGCTGGACAAAATTTATAGCTTTACCCTTTAATGAGTTCAATGAAGCTTCAGAAAGTCATTTGGGGGGTAAAAACTCATTGGTGGACTAGGAACAAACCAAGTGACTAGTTCCTCATAATGGTTCCTTTCTCAGTTCACAAATATATATGTATGAACAATTCTAGACTCTTCAAAGGATCAATGTTGTCTTTATTATTGACAATGCATCAACTTCTTGATTCTCAAAGAACTCAAGACTACATAAATTGGTAGATTTCACAGGAACCATTTCTTTTGCTCCAAAATACTCTGATTACCATGCAGATGTTATGCATATTTGACAAATGGTGTATTTTGTGAATAGAGATTACAATTCTGTTCTTTTGTTCTCGGTATGATTTTTAATCCGCTATGTTATTTAAAATGCTTTTGGTATTTCTGTGTTTTCTGTTTTCTGTGGTTTGATTAATTATTACTGGATGCTGGAGGGTAACATTTAAAGATAAATTTTGTTTCATTGATTTTAGGATCTAAGTTGCTACTCATTTTGCAGGAGTATTGCCCAAGTATTTCAGCTCAGAGTGGTCTGTTGCTCAGTTTCGTTTGCTTGAAGGTTCTCAATACATTGTTGCATTTGGTCACCAAAAGAATACTGTTGTAATTCTTGGCTTAGATGGAAGGTGTGTACAACTAACAAGATATCATTGATTTAATTTATACATAATGATTTAGTAATTTAATGTATCCTGTTATTTCTAGTTTGCTTTGATTTTGCGAACCAACCTCTCATTTAAGTGCTGCCTAAAAAACATACAGAAAATGTTTACGTCTGCTTCAGAATAGGTATTAGTTATCGATAAATGTAATATGATTTGATATAGTGCAAACAAGAAAGGGTACGTTTTGAATCTTCCTTCTTGACAGAAGATATTTTCATACCGTCCACAATTTTTGTAAACACACACTCTCTCTCTCTCTCACACACACACACAGTAGTAAAATAACTGATTTGCATTTATGCAGCTTCTATCGTTGCCAGTTTGATCCAGTGAGTGGTGGAGAGATGACTCAGTTGGAATATCACAACTTCCTAAAGCCTGAAGAAGCTTTTTAGGAGAGGGTTTGGATACCCTAACTTCTTCATTGTTGTATACAATACTGTTCCCCTTTGTGTGTATCATTTGGTTCTCTTCCAAATAGGAGGAGAATATTATGTTGTAAATATGATTATTTGTTACTCACATTTGACAATTTGCAACTGTTTTAACCACCAAAAAGTGTAACAAAACATATTCACATCTGTAAATATTCAAGTATCTCGTAATTATATTTATGTCAAGCTTTCTATGTTGGATGATCTTGTGAAGAAATTGAACCCTTATGTTCTCTGTTCTCATAAAATAAGAATGTAAACAAATTTGCCATGTCCAAAGGGTAACTGGTACTTTTGCCTGCTTACTCACAACAAATTGTTACCTTTTTTATTCAAGAGCTGAAGCTTGTGTTGTGGTCGATGAAGGATTCAAAGTATGTTGATTAGGTCTTCAATCATTCTAAATTTGGGGTTTGTTTTTTGGGATATCAAATTTTCTGAGTAGTTTATCATTTTATTGTGCCATTAAGTGCTGATGGTGCAATACTACTTTAATAAAGATGTACTTGTTTGGGCAATTTAGGAAGCATATTAATTTTGAGACTGTGTAAGCAAATAAGTTGACGTAAAACTAAAATACATAAAAGCCCTACAATTTCTAATGTGAAAGTAGAATATAACAAAATTTGAAATGTGGAAGTAAATTATGGACCAGGAATTTTTTATTTTGATAATATTGGATGTGTTATCGAAAGTATAGTCAATTGATGATAACATACCAAATTGTAAAATAAAAAAAATAAAAAAATAAAAAAAGATTGAAACCACAATTTGTGGACTGTAGTATTATAATCTATAAAAGAAAAATGATATTTGTGACTTTAGATGTGTTAAACCATTTTATTCCACTTTCTTAATCAAACAACTTCTCAATCACTCTTTCGATTTGTGCGTGAAAATGGGGATGAAGTTATATGGAATACCAGCGTCGACATGCACTGCAAGGGTGATGGCATGCCTCTATGAAAAGGGCGTAGATTTCAAGCTCATCCCAATTAACATGGGTGCCGGTGAACACAAGCAACCTGCATTCCTTAACAAGAATGTGAGTCTAATTCAAGCCTCCATATTTCAAGTATTCAAATTTTTGTCTAAACTTGTAAGTCTGATTGTGTGTCTTATTTTATATCTCAACTATTCATTTCATCTCAACTATTCATTTTTGTAAACTTTCGTCTATAGATCATTTATTATTTAAAAAATAATAATTAATCTATTAATTATAATTATATGATTTCATCAATTTTTTTTATAAAAAAAATTTAGGACAAATATTGTTTTGAAAATAGTCTCTCTCTTTTTTTTTTGAAGACAAATTAATAAAATTATGTGATTAAAGTTTATTAGATCCATTTTATTTTATTTTTAAGTTTTTTTAATTTCTTTACATGTTCTTCACAGATGTCTATGAGATAAATAACTCAAACCATCAAATTGAGACCCAACTAGAATGAAATGAATTTCTTGGCAAGAGAGATCCATACATATATGACATTCTACATTATTGTTGTGGTTGTGGTTGTTGTTGTTGTTGGTTTTTTTTTTTTTTTTAAATTACTCAGTATCGTTTATATGAATTTTTGAATAATTCAATTCACACTTGGATTTAGTCTCTTGATTTTTGTCACGTGTGTGTAGCCCTTTGGCCAAATTCCAGCGCTAGAAGATGGAGATCTCACTCTTTTTGGTAAGCTCTCTCACTTAATTTTTCATTATATCGTCATAAATTTATTCTTATAATTATAAATGAGTTCATATCAAAATCTTATAACCACTGGATGATGTAATCAAAATATTTTATTACAATCATATAATGAAAAAAATCTCAATCACGACGACTATCTTGATTGCTTATCATTTATCTATTATTACTAGAATCAAGAGCAATCACAGCATACATAGCAGAGAAATACAAAGACACAAGCTATGATCTCATAAGACACAAAAACCTCAAAGAAGCTGCACAAGTCAAAGTATGGTTAGAGGTAGAATCCCAGCAATTCAACCCTCCAATCTCCGCCATCATCTTCCAGTGCTTCTTCGCCCCAATGTACGGCATGAAAACCGACCAGGCAGTTGTTGACGCCAACGTGGAGAAGCTCGGGAAAGTGCTCGACGTGTACGAGGCCAGGCTGGCAAAGTCCAAGTACCTCGCCGGAGATTTCTACAGCTTGGCAGATCTCCACCACCTCGGTTTCACTCATTACCTTTTCAAGACTCCTTATGCGTCGGTGTTCAACGAACGGCCACGTGTCAAGTCGTGGTGGGAGGACATTTCGTCGAGGCCGGTTTTTAAGAAAATTTCACCGGCGATGAGTTTTGGGGATAAATGAAATGATGGTGGTAGTACGTGGAAGTGAAGGTTTTTCATGCATGGTCTGCATTGAAATAAAACAATGAAACAGTAGTAGGGGTACAGTTTCATTGTGTTCTTTAGAGGTTTTTTTTTTTTTGGTTTTGAATTTGTGCAAAAAAATGTCATCAGAATTTTTTCAAGATTTCATCTGATACAAATAAGAGTAGTCTGCAAAATTGAAAATTCATAATTTTGGAAAGTGAAGTTGAGCCTGAAAAACAACAGAATAATATGCACATAGGGAAAAGAAAAAATTGGTGATTTTATTATAAAGTAAGATGCACGCAATTTAACCTTTGTTTTTAGGGAAGATATTTATGTGACTGACATTGACGACACTAGAAATGCTAGCCCCTACTAAAAAAATAATCTCAATTATTTATTTTTTATTATTATTTTATTTTTATTTTATTTTTTTTGTATAAACTAGATTTGTTCAAGTGATTGTATTTTGATATCTCTTCAAACTTTTGTAGAAGCCATTTTAGTTTATGATTTGGTAAAAATTTCATCAACCCTTGATTTTACAAGAAAAAATAAATGATAAACACTCATAATTTTATATTCACAAATTAATCTACGATATATGACAAGTGAGTTGAAAGTTAAGACTCATTGTACCACATTATTATAGATCAAATCATATTATGAGAGTTATTTAGGAATGTGACGAATGTCAAACATTTATGGCCCTATTTGTTTTGAGAAATAGAGATAGGATTGGGATTGAGATTGAGATGGAGGTGGGAGTCACTATTTGTTGTGTTTGTTTTGAGAGATGGAGAGGAGGTTCATAATTTCATAGGATTAGGATGGGCCTCGGTGTTGGGATTGAGATGGAGGAGGTGGAGATGATATGAGGAAATTAGTCCCATGGGAATATTATTTTTTATTTTTTTATTTACATGTTGGGCATTTTTTTTTAACATTAATGTTTAATGTTTTTGTATTTTTTGTTAAATAAAAATCATAATTTTATTTGTTTAAATATTTTATATTTCTTTTATAGGGTAACAATTTAACAATCTCTACATTAACAACTACTATCAAAACAAACATAATTTTACTTAATCCCTTTACTATCAATCTCCTCCATTCTACCTCTGAAAACAAGTGGAGCCTATATATAATAATTGGGAAAATTGTATTTCAATTAACAGTAAAAAAATAATTTCATTTTCATAGTGATGCAAATCTCTTATATATATGGTATATGTTTGATACAAAATTATCGTACGTGTCAAACTTATATTAAAAAAAAAATTACATAGAAAGCAATTATTTTAAAAGTGTCCCACTTATTTGTAATTTTCTCTAAATGATTTATCATATCAATAAGTTTACATGTACAAAAATTAAATATAAAATGAGACACACAACTCACCATTTATAAGACATTTGGCTCTCATTTCGTATTGAGTTATGCTAGAGACTCTAAATATTCTACTAAATATTTTACAAAATCTCTCACATAGATGTAAAACTCACACACATATAGATTTATATAAATCTCAACCCATATAAAAAATTTAATAAAATATTTAATAGAGTATTTGAGATACATAGCACTTTCTCTTTCATATTTGATCTGTGCGTGTGGTTCTAGCATTGTTATTATTATATTCAAAAAAACAGCAGGTTTCCCACGTGGACTCAATTTATTGGGCCACGACGGAGGCCAGACAATAATGCACTTATTACTTGGGCCCACTGCCAATGGCACCTAACGATATGCCGTTTTAATTTGGGGCCCAGTGGATGATTCGTTCTGACGATCCAAATATTTTACAAGCTCATCATTATTAAAAAATTTTAAAAGCATAAGAATGAAGACAAATTAGCTAATCCACCAAATTATAATCTTAAAAAGTTAATTTTTTTTTAAGGATAATTAACCCAAGATAATGAATTTGGAGCTAATAATTAGAAGCTCTACTCATGAGCCATTGCGAATATGGAATTAGTTAAACTTCTCTCATGACAAATTGTCTTAGAAAATTCAAATAAATGATTAAAAATCATGTTATAAATAAGAATAAAAATAAAAATGGTGTGGTCAATCCTCCACCGAGAACGGGGGTGTCATAATTTGATATCATATATTGGAGTACAAAATATTTATCTTTTTGTCTCTTTTATGTACAAATAAAAAATTTCTATTGTAATTTTTATGCAATGCTGTTGTTATGTATTTTTTATTATAAGAAGACATGTAATTTAACGGCATAAATTTCAAACTGATATAAAATAACACCAAAATACCGTGTATTTTTTCAAACCATCATTTAAAAATGATGTTATTTTATTTTACTTTTAAAATTATTGCAAAGGTATCCGTTTCAAAATATTTTGTTGTTATTTTTGGGCCCGTTGAATTATAGGTTGGGCCCAGATCTTCTTTTGGACGGCCTTTCGCTACTTATTTTGACAAGTTTATCTGCCCTTCTCACATGTGTATTCAACATCAACCTACCAACTCTTCAAATCAAACATTAATTTCACATTCCGTTCAAAAAACAAAACAAAACAAAAAAAAAACCACATGAATTTCACATTTTAATTAATTTTACATTTTTGATATAATTACACTAGTATCTTTTAAAGTTATAATTCACATAACAATTAAATTTTTTTCATTAGTAATTTGTTAATTATATAAAAAAAAAATGATACTGTGATATATTTTAAACTAAAATGATTTTCAACTAAAATGTATATATATATATATATATATATATATTTATTTCAATGTCTATTTGTCATCTATATTAGTTTCAGTTGTTTTAACTATACTAAATGAAAAATCAATATAATTATGTCAAAATGGTCGAACAAATT